CTTTTCTCAACTTTGTTAACTTTTAGACTCAAGAAATGCTTGTACTTAGGTGAGTCCTACAGTTGGTTTTGTCTTAAAATGACTTGACAATATTATTGATAATGAAACAAAGTGTCTGCTGGAAGAGAATGTTCAAGAGGGTATTTGAAAAAAGGCACTAATCTCCAGTCTTGATCCTGGAAGGCAGCTTGCAAATACAGCAAAAAGTGGACTTTTCAAAAGACGTTCAATGTCAGCATAACTTTGCTTCCATTCAGACTAACAATGATAACTTCAGAACGAGCAAAGTCAGGTCAATAGTGAGTATATATATTGAAATTCTGCTGTCAAAAGGAGTTAAAATGCCTATAGGAGTACATGTGACTTTAGTAGCCAGCACTTAAATTGAACAGCAGTTAACACCACTCTGTGCCTTTCTTGGAGAATGCCAACTGACCCTTTACAAGTTTTCCTTGTTCTAGCTGATGACTGTAACTCACCAAAGGAGGTGCTTATACTTTTGGAGTTACATAAATGTCCCCTAATTTAGTCTTTTTCACATCTTACAGAGTCTTATTGGAGAAGAGTCAAAGCTTTGGTTTTAAGCATGTTTGTGGTTAATTTGTATTCTTCGGGAAATATAATGTCTGTGGAAAAGGTAGTGGTTAAAGAGAAAGGTAGTCTTTCCAGAAGGGCAAGTCTATAATACTTGGCCTGTATTCTAGGGTTGGCAGCAATGATAGGGTACTAAAGTGATTTGTCAGGGAAGCCAGAAAGGTTAAGAATTATTGTATATCTGTGATGCAGAAATGTAGGCTATAGAAACTTATGATTAACAGATACTGATTTAATATTTTCAGGAATTACAGAATAAGATTTCCAGCTGTAAAAGGGGGTTGGGGAATGGGAAAAAGAAGGAGGGAAAAAAATACAACTTGTGAAAAATAGTAGATTAATGGCACTTGAACACTCTACTGTCTATAACCCAGACTCTGGTGATCTGAATTCTACCCTAGAAACTTGGTTTGATGATCTGGGTTTTGTTACTTTAAATACATCTTACCAGTGTTTCTCAATCAGAATGATAATTAAAAAAATTTCTTGTAAGAAACGAGACTGCCATCTTTGCACTGAACATTTAAAATATTCATGAATATTCATGTCTAGAAACTTGTAGTTTTCAATCAACATTACTCAGGAGAAGTGTACAGCTCTCCTATAGCAAGTATTCTTCTCTCCAGCCAATTTCAATATGTACATTGCCCAGAGGCTGAAAAATATTGGCCTGTGGAGATATTCAGAACTCAATGAGACAAGCCCCAGATCAACCTGGTGTAAGTTGGCCATGCTTTAGCTAGAGAATTAGCCCAGTTGACACCTAGAGATACCTTCCAACCTAGTCTGCGATTCCCTGAGTCTGTTAATTCTCTTGTCCCACTGGCTTTGCACTGCTCTGAAGATGATTAAGAGTGTTATGACTGACCAGAAGAAAATCTCTTTTGCTATGGATATACTTCCTCAAGAAAACAGTTTGAAACAACCAATTTATTTGAAAGTTGGTGGCTTGGCATTTATCATATGGTGATAACTCTATAGGCACTAGTACATCTGGTTATTTCCAAACACTTATTCCATTTTTGTGTTTGCAAAGTGTTTTAGCTCTTTGTCTGTCTTCTTCATTCCTATGTTCTTCTTTCTTCACTATCTAAACATCACTTCCTAGCAGACAGCTACTGTCAATAGTCATCTTATTAAAATTTCCAAGGGGAGCGACGTTACATTGATTTTTGTTTGCATGTTCCCAAAATGTGAAATTGAGTTTACTTCTCCAAATTATTTAATGAGCCAAGCCTCGAAAGTCAATTACAACAAAAAAAATGTTCCTCTCGTCAAAATGAAGCATTTTAGAAGCTGAAGGATACTGTGCCTAAATACTGATCTAACAAAGAGCGTTCAGCAGATTCCATTTGCTACAGTATTTTTGTAACTAAGATGGTGCTCTTGATTTTTTTCAGGTATTTTGGTTAGGTGTTTTCTACTTAGATTAAGAAAATGTGACATTTTATTCAATTACTCCTGCAACTGGATATGTCTCTTTCTAATCTTGTTTTTCTCAGGCTTTCTTAGTGCTTTCTTTTACAAATGCTTAACATGAGCAAGCCCAAAAGCAATGGATTTCCATAGTAATAATTTAGCATTATTATTTCTTTCTTCTGAAAATAAATGAATCTCTCAAATCTATTTTCACTAGATCTCCTCTTGACAAAGCCAGTAAAATAACATTAAAAGGTGTTGAGTAAAAAATACTGTTTAAACAACTGTATTTATATTTCTGATAGCTATATGGAAGTTTTTCATGTTTCTGTGTGAAAACATGTAGTATGAGAAATCAAATGCAGATGAAGATAGTGTCCACTTGTGAAACACCATCTCCACAGGTCATCTTATTGTGGCTGCCATATCTAGCATAGCTTAAACTACAAAATGCTGGAAAAGGCCTGTAAGCTTCCTATTTAACAGCCATCAATAAATTTGCAGGCTATTTTAATGAATTTCCTCCATTTCTCAGATTTTCTTGGTTTGTCAGAACCACAATTTCCTTCTGTATATTTGGCTTATTAGGTGATTCTTTTGAGGTTTCATGGGGTTTTTTTGTTGGTTTTTTTTTATTCCAAGCTGTTTAGGACAAAATTGCCAGTCCACTACTGACTTAACCTTATCTTTGAGAGAGTAGTTTGCAGGAAATTTTTAGAGTATTACAACCTAGTCTTGGTTTTGTGGTATCTACTTCCCAAAGTCTCATGGGAAAATAAAAGGTAATTTCTAGAATATACATGTAAAGCAAAACACCATTAGGGACCTGATTCAGAGTCTATAAAAGCCAATGAAAAGAGTACAACCAAATTCATTATCTCTGAAGTAAGTCTCTTAGAGGCATTTTGTTGCTATTACATCATTTCATCTTGAAATATTTTTCAGAAAGTCTTCAGCAAAAGAACAGCATGTGGGGTTTTTTTGTTTTAATATCAGAAAGTCACTTATTCCCTTACGCACTAAATCCATTTTTTTCATGCAACCACCATACCATTTTTGTACAAATATTTCCCTGTGTCCATTTCTGAAGATTATTATATCCTACTTGTTTAAAAAACATTAACTCTGAGGTGACTAGGTTTTTTTTCTTTTTTTTTCACATGCTAAAGAAAATCCTACATATATACCTTAACTGTTGGAGCTGTCACTGTAGCTTCCAGATAAAGAGTATTATATTTAAGAACTCCTAGTAAGTTGTGTTAACCAAGAATGCAAGAAACATTCATTGTGAGAAACACTGAATATACTACAATGACTAAAAAATAGGAAGTCATCTCGGAAGCCAAGTAACATTTTTTTTTGCCTAGTTTTCCCAGGCTTCACACTTTCCTTTTCTCATACCCCATACAGTTTTACCTTTTTCCTGGGTATTCCTCAAACTCAGCCTGTTGTAGTTGTCCCTGTAAATGTAATGCATTCTGTTGTCTAAATGTATGCAATTTTATGAGAATTTCATTGATTTTCATTAGAATTTGAACAAATCATCTTCCAGTATGAGCATGTGGCTGGTTGTTCTCATGTCAGCTTCATCCAACCCTGCTGTACTTTCTTGTAAAGCACTATTTCTTCTCCTGCACACAAAGAGAGTTCAATTTCTCCCCTTCTTCTCTTTACTGCATATTCTCCACTTGTCACCAGACAGTCTTCTGTTAGGTAACAGCCATTCTGGTGTGCATACCCTACATAAAAGCTCTCTTCACACTACATACAACCCATAGAAATAAAGATGGTAGCACTGTGAAGAAATCTTGCTCACAAAGTTGTGGCCCTCAACCTTTCTGGGCTAATATTAAGCTGTGAGTGACATTGGATCTTCTTTTTCCTGCTGGCTCTAGTTCTAACATTCAGAATTCATGTGGTCAAGAGGGAAGCTGGAGGAAGGGATGCTAGAGACCATAGATGGGACATCATTATTTCTCCACATGGGGCAATAACAGTAAGACTGCACTGTCATAGAAACTATTCTTGACTCCTAGATGTGCTTCCATGCATCTGAGCTTCTCTGTGACTGCAGAAAAACAGGTCAATTGGGAGAATGGGATTCTGACTATGCATTTTTTTTTAGCTGAAGTTCAGGACCAAGCTTCTAGACCCAGATTTACCCACCGGTCTTATTTCCACTCCACACTTGGGTAACCCACAACTACATGTCAGCCTCTCCTCTGTGTCTTCTTTTCCATGTGAAGGAAACTCACATGCAGACCAGAAGGGAGTCACAGCATGGCTTTGAGGAAATCAGAAGGAAACCAAGTTCATAGAATCATAAATTGTCAGGGTTGGAAGGGACCTTAAAAATCATCTAGTTCCAACCCCCCTGCCATAGGCAGGGACATCTCCCACTAGATCAGGCTGCTCAGAGCCCCATCCAGCCTGGCCTTAAAAACTTCCAGGGATGGGTCTTCCACCCCCTCTCTGGGCAACCTGTGCCAGTGTCTCACCACCCTCATGGGGAAGAACTTCTTCCTAACGTCCAATCTGAACTGATCCATGTCTAGCTCTAATCCATTCCCCCTAGTCCTATCACTATCTGACATCCTAAAAAGCCCCTCACCAGCTTTCTTGTAGGCCCCCTTGAGATACTGGAAGGCCACAATAAGGTCTCCTCGGAGCCTTCTTTTCTGCAGACTGAACAACCCCAACTCTCTCAGTCTGTCTTCATAGGAGAGGTGCTCCAGCCTTCTGATCGTTCTTGTGACCCTTTTCTGGACATGCTCCAGCAAGTCCATATCTTTCTTGTGCTATGGGTAAGTTGACAAGATACTGATAGAACTACTACATTCCATTATAGAGAACAAGTATCATGAGGAACAATCAGTGGGAGTGGTGACACAAGACCAGAAAAACAGATATTGACCACTGGCCACAGTTTCTTTTTTTTTTTACTTGAAGAAATAAGCCGTGGTGGCTGTTTTGTTTTTCTTTTGCAGTCATCTCTAACAAACAGTGACATCATCTTCGTGAAGTTGCATGCCCCTTGGGAGGTCCTGGGCAAATACGCTGAACTCATGAATGTAAGAATGCCTTTCAGGTAGGTGTAGTTGTATTTTGTCTCAATCTCCAGAGTCACACTATGCTGTAAAACTAATGTAATAATAATACCAAAATGCACATGGAAAAGCTCTTCTATAACATACCATACATCTTTAGAAAATATAAATGGAGTACCTTAGATGCCATATTCATTGCTGTTTCTTGTTAATGCCTGCAATTTCAGTACAATAGTGGTTTGAAATTAAGGTGAGCTGTAGCAGTGCAGCTGTTTTCATGGGGTATTCTATCCTTAGGCCCTTTAACCCCTTCAATGCTGGAGCCCCCTGCATACTTGTGCGCTGCTGTTTTTTAAATGGACATTTCATTGAAATCAATGGGAGGTCAAGAAGATCCAGGTACGTAAGGCAGCACAGAAGGTGCATGTCTGTTGGACGTATCTGGTATGTTCAGCACCTGTAAATTGCTTGTATAGTGTGTAATTACAGAAATACAGGTAATAAATAAGCACTCCATCTAACAGGAGAGCAATTCAGACCATAAAAGCTTTTTTTCTGGGGAGATAATAAAGAAATTAATTGAAATGCTACTGATAACCAAATTCATTCCACATTGTCATTCAGATTATTTTTATCATTTATTTAATATTATTTGCATGTTGAGATATTAAATTTTCTTTGTAAAACACTGATTCTACTCTGCTGGTTATCAGAACTGTTCATATAGTGTAAAGACTTCCACTGGAACTGACCAAAAACCCATGAACTGAGAGGTCTTGATTCTTCTTTCAATTAGCGGAGTTTATAGATACATAACTCCATTGATTTTAATGGAATTACTCCTGAACAAGAAAAGGATCAGATCCAGAATACACCACTAGTGAGTTGGTGTCCTTTGTAGGATTTCTTCTGCTTTCTTCTTACTTAAGGATGAAAAATGCTTCTGATATAAAACAAGCTATAGCAGTACAGAACTTGCTAGGAAAAATGGATATGAATTAAAGACAAAATTTTCACAGCAAATCTTCAACTGTTCTTTCTTGTGCTTTTAGTGTGAAAGAGAAAAATATAAAAGCTGTCACAAGCCACTGCAAGATATTAATATTCTTTTTTAGAAATGTTCTAGCTATAGAAACAGTGGGCTGGACCAAGAGTGTGCCTCCTTTGACTTTGTGGCATTCTCTGAGATGAACCTGCCCTAGTAAGAGGATAAGGTTTCATGATTAAGAAATATACCAGGAACTCGGATTTTAGCCACTGTGAGCAGCTTGTTCTTTTCCTATTCTAAAGACTCTTTTTGAAATCTATCTCTGAGCAGATACAGCAAAGTGGATGCCATTCAGATTATACAGAAAGCATCAAATATACTAACAGTTTCTTGACCTGTTTCAGGACCATGGCTTCATTCTTTCCACATCTACAGAGAGAGAATTATTACAGTGTCATTAGAAGGAAATTATGGTGATTTACTAATGCCTGCTGGGCAGGCTCTTAAAATTTATTTTAAGAGCAACAATACTATTTACCACTTAAAAACAAGGACCAGCATTTTACAACATGCCCAGTAGTGTGGACTGCTTGTTTCCAGGTGCCATTGCCTAGGTCCTGGTTTTAAGAACTGCTGATTGTTTACAGCTCCCAATATCGTGGGTTGCAATTAGTCAAGGTCCACGCATCAGTGAATAAAATTCTTACTGTTTCAAAGCAGGGTTGCCAAAACAATGGATGCCTCTGAATATTTGAAGCAAAATCAAGTGGATGGCATCTTCAGAAGAACTTAGCTTTGACCTTTCTCGGCTCCTGATAAGTAGAGCAAGATAAATAACACTATCTTGTGGACGAGTTGGCCAAGGGAGGCTCACCAGCATGAAATTGTTTTGAAAATTTCACTTCACTGTCACAATAAGGACACCAATTACAAACATAATGTCAAAATATTATGCATTATTTAAATTCTAAATTCTAGGAATACTAGCCAGGGTTTTTTTCTATAGTTTATAAAACATCAGTGCTGTTTTATTTTAGAAAGCTGCCAACCACGCTTGCTTCCAAGGCATTATCAGCACTATCAGCATTCCTACAGCACAGTTAATATACAAGAATATTCAGAATATGTGTGGTGTGAGCCCTCCATTTTCCGTAAGTGGTGAAGTTCAGCATTACATGATGGAACCTCTCAGAAAAGATGGAAACCACCTTGATTTAGCAATGACCTTCAGCAGATGACAAAGTCAACCTTTGGAGGACATAACCAGAGTTCAGGCAGGCACCCAAATCTTCCAGTAAGAGTATCAGTCCCACACTAAAACCAGTATCACACCTAAAAGCTCTCAGATTTTCTTAACTCTCACAAAGATACAGTCTCTCTGCTGAAGGTGATGGGTGAAATCCTGGCAGCTGTGGTCTTATAGGCACATAAGAGGAGAACAAGTGCTGCTAGCAGCAGAGTGGGACAGCGGGTGCACTCCCTGTTCTGGATCTACACAGGACGGTTATGGGGCCGCTCTGCCCTGCAGGGCTGGTCAAGAAAAAGGCCAAGACTGTGGTCAGCATGCCTCTGCTCATGCACCCTTGTCTGCTCACTTGTGTGCTCCCACACAGCTTGTTGCACTGACATCAGGAATCAACTGAGCCTGTATGAGAGGCAGAGGGAGAGGCTGCATAATGTGGGTGGGGGGAGGAGGCAAAGCACATACTCATTTGCTTGTGTAGCCTATATCCTCTTTCAAGGGATGCTACCACGACAGCAAGCACTGATCCCAGTTGGTAGTGCATGTGTTATGGCATATTGCGGCATCAGGTACTGCTCACATCTTGGGATGTGAGATAATTTATCCATATTTATATCAGTCCTGTACAATTCCTGCAACAGCTTATGGCTTCTTTGAAATAGGAACACCTGTGGGTTGCCATCTTTCACACATGACAAAGAGCAGAAAAGAAGAAGACAATAGGAAAATGATGACCTTCTTGCAATTCATACGCCACCAAAGTCTGTGTGGCTTCCTGTGACAGTTCTGTTAATCACTCTTTTAGTCTCTTCCTCCACCTCTTACAGGCTTCTGTCTTCAATCTCCTTTCCTTCCTTGCTAGTTCATACTGTAACTGACGATGGGTTTTCTTCTCGACTGGCTTCATTTTTGCTGTTCTTCCAGGAGAAAAATCTATTACCTGCACCGCCGATACAAGTTCATGAATAGGTGAGTACAATTCTTTTGCCAGTCCAGTTTATGTTCATTTGGACCTAATAATAAAAATTATGCTCAAGGTCCAGCTCATTTATTAGCTGTGTTTGTAGGAAGGGTGAAGGGTGAAGGGAGTGATTACACGCTCGAACATCTGCAAAAACAGAGATTGCATTTTTAAGGCATCTGCAATGTGAAAGAGGCAGTTCATTTTATCACTGTTGCCTTTTTTTAGGAATAAGGAAATATTTTTCAGTTGATGGAGTCTTTTAAAGAATAAGTGTCTTACTGCAAACACTGTATCTCTTTCTCTTCATGTAGCTCATTAGGGAGTTTCTTGGGGTTAAAACTCCCCAGCTAGAGCTATTCTTCTCGTTCCATGTACCTTGCTTACTTGTAATAATGATAGCATACCCTATCTATTGCTTCTTCTTTGGTGATGCTTAGTACTTTGTTGGTAGGTGGAAAGGCAATGAACCAAGTTCATCTCCGATGTAACATTGAGCTTGAGTGTATTTTTCAAGAATCTTTGAAGCGCTTTCACTCAGTTATTAAATATCTTTAGGGTTATGTTTAATGCCTGGTTTACGTTTGACTTAATGCAATGAAAAACTTCCAATGCTGCAGTTTGCTCTTTCTTTTTCATACCATGGACAATTAAAAGAAAATGTCCCTCAAAAGCCTAAAAATATACAGACTTGGCAAAAAACAGATTATATGTTGGCATTTAATACCACAGTGCTGTGGATGCACTTTTCAAAAGGGTGGAGCATTTGATATACTGTGTCGCTCTGAGGTCAATGGAAACATTCCCATAAACCTCGGAGAGAGAAGAAGGAAATCTGAAAAATCTGCATATTGGAGCAAACAGCTGTAACCCTTTGCAGATAATGTCACTACATGAACAATCATGGGAAAATAAATCACGTATTATCACTCTGCTGTATGAGCATATTACGAAGCATTTTATATATTAAATCTTATTACAGTGTGCTGCTGACTTGAGAGTACTTACATTATAATAATTGCTTTTTTATACTAGTAAGCACCAAATGGGCACTTGGTGGAGTTAAGGCATTTTACCTACTTGGCACAGGGTAACTGACACACACAATTCTTCTAAACCTTCTTGATGCTCCCCCACTTTCCATCCCCATCTTACCATAAATACTGTAGTGGCTGTTAACTTTGGAATTTTTCTTGATTTAAGTTAAGATATGGCTGCTTTGACTAAAGCAATAGATAGGAAGGAGTTTCCAACATTTATATATGGTGTATGAAATTTTTCTTTAAATTTTTTTTCTTATGAGTCAAGATGCAATTTGAAGTCTGTACGGGAAGAGGTATGATCCTTTTCTGATATATTAGTTCCTGAGTGATGAGAACACTTGGCTAAATTCAATTTTTTTGTTCAGGTTTATAAGTAGCTGCTTGACAGAAAAAGCTACAACTGAATAGGTCCAGTGGGAAAAAAAGAAAACATATTCAGCTTCATTTTCATGTGTGTGAAACTCAGATATACAGCTTCAATAAATGTCTCTATTTCCTCTACTCCTAGTTCAGTGAAGATTGCAAGTAACTGAAACCTTAGTCCGCTTTTTGAGCTAAACCAACATTATATTGACATTTGGGCAAAGACTTTTGTTACAAGGCAAATCCCAGAGCAGGTGACTTGCAGCTTGTCAACCTGACTTGAATTTTCTCTATGAAAAATTCTAGTGATCTCAACATTTCAAGTAATAAAAAGTCACAAAACTCTCCTAATATATTTTAGACAAAAGTAAGAGTGTCAGTTATCTATACATTACCTGCATTGTAGTTAAAAACTGAAACAATATCTAGCACTACAATATACATAAAGCTCTGTCAAAGCTGACCCACATATAAAAATCAGTCTCAATTCAAAACATTTTTGTTCCTAAATTACTCTTTTCTTTGAAAAAAACCTGCTTCCTATTGAGAAAATAGTTTCTTTGAAATTATTTGAGAAACCCTTTACGTGAGTTAAGCACGATATGTATATTCAGAAAGAGGACACTGAGTAAAGACTAGGCTTGGAGAGCAGGGACAGGACTGAAGTGGAAGAGACGCTGTCTTTGAGGTGATGTGTAAAGGAAGAGAATGATTATTTACCTTATGAGGCTAGCAAGTTTTTTTAAAGAGAAAATTTAAGAAACAGACTATTATCAGATCTTCCACTCTCCTCTTTCATTGTGGCTAACTCTACAGTGCCTCATCACTCCATGCACTTTATTGTTCTTGTGTAGATTGCTCTGTTTTCTAAAGACCATTCCCCTATTCAGCTGAGATATAAGTTTCTCCATAAGGCCAAGTGAGGCATGGATTAGCTTTGAAGAAGTGATAAAGCACAGTAGATTTTTAACACTGTGTGTTTTTTAGCACCAACACCACTCTCTCAGCTTTTTTTGAGGTGCTTCTTTAGAATACAGGCTGGTGGCACTGTTCGAGTGAGCTGAAGGCAATTTAAGAGTTTGGTCATTTTTCTTTTCCAAGGATATAACTAGCTTTTTTTTTCTTTTTCTTTTTTTTTTCCCTAGACATGGCTGTACTCTATGTTCTGGGTCTTGTAGAAAGGCTTTGCAATCTTCCCAGACCTGTTTACCAGCAGCCTCAGTGAGCATGCCACGTAATCTGAGCCTTGGGAATGGCAAACCAGTCAAATTCTGGGTAGACTCTGTGAGAAGCCAACATGAATAATGCATTGCTGTTAAGCGAGAAAGCACTCTGCGCCTTGGTGCACACCCGCGTGGTGTGACAAAACTGCAGCATACATATCTCAAATGTGCACATTGACAGGATGAATGGGAAAGGATTGCAGATTAGCAAGGGTGTTAACAGCTTAGCAAATTCAAACAATTTTAGTTACCAAATAAGCATGGAACAGGATATTTACTAAACTCTTGCCGATTCTTCTTGCCTTTTCCATACGCAGAGTCACTAAGCCAGCGAAACATACAGTAATGCAAAGCTTGTTGCCTTTACAGAGGAAAAACTGGAGGCCAAAAGTCAGGGAATTCCCCTGTAGAGAACTTTTCCCTTGACATTCCTATCAGTGACTGCACAGACTAGCTCAAGGCTGTTTGGCTGGATGCTGCAACTGGAGCGTTACAGTTGGTCAGGCTCTGGGATCTGACATCTCGCCTGCACTCAGGCACAGACATTTACAGACTACCTCCCTCTGTGCTCTGCGTTGCTGGGCCAGTGCAAACACCGCCAGTGAAGAGTTTATGAAAGTCTTATGTTACACTGGCATATGCATTCCAGCTCTTCCAAACAGTCCTCATGATAAATTTGCAACAGCCTCCCCCTCCCCTCCCCGGCCCTCTTCATAGAAAGAATACACAAATGGTACAAAAAAAAAGTAGTGCTAATTTGGTTACAATTTTGAAATGTGCCCATGTTTAAAAACTAGCATTAGCTTTCTTATCCAAGATAAAAATACCTGATGGGAGGTTGAATATTCCAGGAAATATTGCATGTATTTTAAATTGAAGTATGTACTAATTTCACATCCATTTGGGGGCCGGTTAGCTCAGTCAGTTGAGCATGGTGCTAAGAATGCCAAGGTCGTGGGTTTGATTCCCTTTCGTTCCCCATGTGTTGCCTGATCTAGTCAAGAGGAGTTGTCCTTGGCGACAGGGAGGCTGGATTAAAATGATCTCCAAGGTCCCTTCCAGCCTAGGCCATTCTATGATTCTATGATTTCCCACACACTCAGCTGCCTGGGTATGCATTCCCCCCCTTCAAACTGTGCAGAACTCACAGCGTTTGCTGGTCGTAGAGTTATTGTGCTGACTTCTGTCCAAAGAAAAGAAGCAACTACGTTTCCAATCCTTGTACTTTATCCAGAGCTGGACTTGAAGTTCAAAGGATGTTGATTCATGCCCTTTAGCTGAACTCCTGGGAAGATTCATCCAGTGACAGAAGCATGTGCATAGTCCATAATTTGTAGTCTATGATTTTTGCAGACAAGGATCATTCCTAACACCTTCATACCTGAAGGTGTGAGGAACTTCTGAGAGAGAAGAACTCATTGTGCCAGATGTATCTCATCTTACTCATATGTTTCATTATAACATTTCAGTTTGGATTTGAGTTTGCTTTAGATTGCCTTCTCCAACCAGCTCTGACTTTTCCCTTTCCCTTCATTGCAGTGTGCTTCTTTGCATGAGTGCATTTGCATTTAAGTTAGTCCTTTCCCCAACTTGATCTTAGTTTGCTTTCACATTGGATGTGAGAATCTGCATAGCAGTCACATGTTAATCTATGTACTGAGTATTCTGGTTTCATGGATGTTGTAGTATTGCAAGATGCTACAGTTGAATGAAATGAACAAAGTAGTGATTTTTTATAGCACAAATTTCAAGATAAGAATCCATGCAGACAGCAGTAAAGGGATGCAGCTTGCTGGGGTTTAGCTGCTAAAACTCTCTATCACAGCCTCTGTTGGTCTAATGTTTATATGTCCAAAGTCTAAATTGTCAATTAAGCCTGAAAATTAAACTGAAAAGCTGAGAAATAGAAGTTTAGAGAGTTGCCAAGAGCTTACTGGACTTAATAAGATTTATGGCAGCACGTATTATAAGAACCACTTTTCTGTTGAGACAAAATAAGATGCTCCTCTTCTGAAAACTGGATTTTAATAATCAGGTTCAGCATGTGTGATTTGGTCTGGCTTGAAGAACTAAAAAAAACCACATTACATCTGTTCTAGTTGTAAATATTAAGTGGCCTAGTTTACAAGCATGTGGTTTTTTGTAAGTGCTCTATAATGTGAAGAAAAAACAGCTATCTCAAATGCTCACACTTTTCATGTGCTGCAGGATCGAGAAACAAATAAGCAGGTTTCGAGGATGGTTACCTAGAAAGCCAATGAAACTGGACAAGGAGACATTACCAGATCTGGAGGAAAACGACTGCTATACTGCTCCATTCAGCCAACAAAGGATCCATCAGTGAGTATTTAATTATATCAGAACTAGAAGATGAAAACTTTTCCTTCTGAATTCACCTTGGAAAAAATCAATTTCTTAGTTCATGTCCTAAAGACTAGTGCCTTCAAATTAGTTCTTTGTCACAAAAAGGGAGAGATAGCAAGTTCTGAGAGAGCATGAAGTCTGTCTACATTTCTGATAATTAAGGCTCCAGCTCAAAGCTAAAGGAAATCAATAGAAAAGTTTCTTTTAATTCACTGGAATTTCGGTTACATCCCTAAAGCACTCAAATGGCTAATTCTTTTTTGAGTCAAAATTGGAGTGGTTCTTTGTCTTTTAAAGGTGTGATTAAAACTTCTTTTTTAGCACTTCCATGTCTTTAGCATAGTCAAAATCAATCCTTCTAATAATGATGGTCAAAATAAACTGATACTGTATTTCTTTCCTAGTTACGAGTGTAGAACAAACAGAACTGTAAAGAAAGCAGAGAATGCAGTTTTGTTTGTATTTCTCTGTCTTTTGCTTTTATGGAGGCAAAAACTGCTTGCAAGATGTCAGTGTTAAGACCTGTCACTGACACTTGTCCAAGCATACCAATGGCACCAGTGTTGCACCAATGTCATTAACAAAATCATTTGACAACTAGAAGCCTTTACACACTTGCAAAAGGCAAAACAGAAAGAGCCCCATATGACTTTCAAATCCCATGTTGATTCTCAGAGTTGTAAAATTTTGGAGAAAGAGGGTGTCTTATGGGTGTCTTACAGTGTTTGTATTATAGGAAACAGTCACTGAAAACAAAATCAAAAACAATAGGCAGCACTGACAAGGGTAGTAGCAGAAGACACAATGAGTTACAGGCAGCTCAAAGTCTAAAAATCTGAAATATGTGATTCTATTCAGGGAGAAGCCCAGTTGTTGTAATGCCTTGAAAAACCTCACTTTGAATGGTTGATTTTTCAAGAATTGGATTTATGAACTGCAATAGGAGTTAAAAACTCTTCCTCAAGCAGTCTCTTTCTAAATACAGCAGAAAACCAAAAATCTCCAGGGAAATTTCAGTAGAAGCCTGCTCCCAGGGTTACCTCCACTAAATGTCTGTGCCCTGGGTAGACATCAAGTGCAGACTACAGAGTGTTCTGATACTTGAGCAAAAACATGGATCAGCTATTGTGCCCTGCAAGAGTAGGTGCAATTTAGTTTGATAATAGACCAGCAATAATAAAAAATGAAGAAATTGGGATGTCTGGGTTGATATTTTTATTAAGAGTAATATTCACTCTTAACTTCCCTTAAAATTACAGCACATAAGAAAGATCTTTTGTGGCTGGAAGGACAATTGACATACATGAGCCAGAATATTTTATCATTCTTCTGCCTTGCTCATGTTCTAGTAAACTGGCTGGGGGGACGCAGATATTAAAAACTGTGTTAGTTTCATTAACATTCCTGCAGTTGTTTGGCACTTCTTTTGCATCATTGCAGACTTTGAAGCTCTACTCCCCAGCAGGCCTGACATTTTCTGGTTTGCTTGCTGTATTTTCTTCCTTTTCTTTTGTGTAGGGACTGATAAAATGCTGGCTGAGCTGCCCTTCTCCCCAAAGGTCCTGGCTCTGACAGGATTCTTGTGTTCCTGTCATGCTCCAGCCTGTTGGCTGTGTCTGTCTTATTCTATGCCACTAGAATTTTGGAATATAATGACTTGTTCAATATTCGTCTAGTGAGTTGGGTGCAGATGTTTTAATTGTTTCAAGAATTTCAGGGTATAATAGTTAAGCAGAGCATTTCGGAAACATCGTTAGTACATGGTTTTAAACGTTGCTTGTGGAGTGTGGGTATCAAATAATTGGAAATGTAGAGTTAAAAAGAATTATCTTTAACAGTCAAGAAGTGTATTGCGTGGGGGTTCAGTTACTTTGTACAAATTGCTGCTTACTTCGTGCAAATTAATGCTTCTCCTAAGATATACATAAATATCGTGCTGAAAGACCTGAATATAATGAGCCAGCAGTAAAGATGCCCACCCACATATCCCCAAACAAGGGGAAATTATGAGTAGAAATAGATTTTTTTAATTTATGTTTATCACAACACTTACTAACTGATGTAACAATTACTGTGACTGGCATCTTCATTTGTCTGTCAGTTGTGCCAGATGAGGGTCTGATCACTAAGAAAATTATTTCTCTTTCACCTCTACCCACTGTTAAGTGCAATAACTGTCACAAGGGCAACACTAATAATTGTCACCTACCCAGAACAGTAACAAATGCTCCAAAGTTGATTAAATTCTGATTCTGTATTAGATGAAAGCTTCAGTATTCAGTTGTCACTGTTGCATTACGTAAGATCTTACTTGCTTTTTAACAAGTAAAAAAAGTTACTAATTGGATAGAGGGTTTTTTTAAACTGTCAGGGCTTTTAAATTTCTAACCCAGTGTCATGGTTTAACCTCAGCTGGCAATTAAGCACCACACAGCTGCTTGCTCTCTCCCTCTCATGCAGTGGGATAGAGGAGAGAATCAGGGGAAAAAAGGTAAAACTCATGGACTGAGATAAGGACAGTTTAATAGGACAGGAGAGGAAGAGGAAAATAATAATGGAACACACAAAACAAGTGATGCACGATACAGTTGCTCACCACCTGCTGAGTGATGCCCAGCCAATCCCCGAGCTGCAGTGTACCCCAGCAAACTCCCCCCAGTTTATATACTGGGTATGACATCATATGGTATGGAATATTTCTTTGGTTCATTTGAGTCAGCTGTCCCAGCTGTGTCCCCTCCCAACAACTTGTGCACCCCTGGCCTTTGCTGGCAGGGCAGTAAGAGAAGCTGAAAAGTCCTTGACTTGGTATAAACACTGTTTGGCAACAACTAAAACGTCCACATGTTATCAACATTATTCTCATCCTAAATCCAAAACACAACATTGTACCAGCTACTAAGAAGAAAATTAAATTAATCCAGCCAAAACCGAGACACCCAGAGACCCACAATATTGTTTCAGGAATGTGAAGATAAGTAGTTACCAAAGTTCTTGAACTGCAGAAAAGAAGAATTGCCATCTACTATAAGGTTATGATAATTTAGCTTGCAGTTTAGCAGTGGTAAGAAAAGTCCATGCATTTTCATACTGGTGTAGTTAAGATTTTGCTAGAGTGCTGTTACTAGACCATGTTGCCATTACAATGCAATTATAACGGAGGCTACATAATTGTCACGGGTCGTTATTTGTGGAGTTCATATTGTCTTCCATCAAGTACATCATCCTTTAGGCTACAATAACAGTGACAGCCTCTTCCCTACCCTTGAGCTTTTAGATATGACTCTGCATCCCATTCCATGACACAGTTCTGCCAAAGTCTATTCAGACAGAACATGCACAGGACAGGGAGGTTTGCAGTACCACATCAGTGCTCAAGCTGGCTGACGTCAGTGTTGTTTAAGACTTGTCGTCCGACATAGAGCCATTTTTTGAGGAAGGAAAATGTAATACATTGAGTTCTTGATGTCTTCTGAGACTGGAGACTAAATGCAAGGCTTTCAGTCCTTGTGCGCTGTGTTAAGGTAGTAGCTGAAAAGAGTCACTAGGGTCTGCTTTTATCAAATTTTGAGTTTCAAGTTTATAGTCAAAAAATTAAAATTTTCTTGCAAATCTGGAATCCTAAGTGAGAATACATGAGTGGGAAATATGTTAAACTGTTCTTTCAGAAAAAGCCACAGGAGCCTAAATCATATAATCAGTCTTTTAATTACACTAACAAGAATTTTTCTAGTTATTGTACAAGTATTTCTGGATAGCAAGATATGCACTTTGGCCAGTCGAACATATCTAGGATTTCTGTATTGTCATAAATCAATGTTTATCCAAGACATGTTGAACAATTTCTTAATGGCCCTGTAGTAAATAATTCACAAATACAACCAATTTGGAAGTATAAATCTCCAAACATTGAGTTTTCAGGTAGGATCTCCATGTCCTCAGTGTATGTTTTGCCTCATACCATAGGTGGAGGTTGCAGAATTCTTCCTTCTTTCTTGTTTTTATGCTTTTTAATTTTATAAAATATTATTCCTTAAATATTCATATGAGCTTGTTCATGTTTGATGTTTGTCCAGATATTCCTTATTTATTTATTTATTTGTAGCCTCAGGCATTTTTTCAGCTCATCAAAGAACACAGACAGCCCATCTTTTTTGATATAGACACAGTTTTCAAATCCAAGTCTCTGGTTTGATACAGGTGATGTTTGCAGCATGGTCTGAGTAGAATCTTCATTTGTAACAGCTGCTTTTAAAAGCATGGAAAGACAGATGACTAGCAATATTTACAATATCAAGTCTGGGGAGGAAAATACTTAAGATCAAAACGAGTAAGGTCTGATCAGTCATTTTTCAATAGGAATTAATATATTTGAAATATCAATGGACAATAAGTGTTTGCAATTTTAGTAGATCATATTGGTTGTCTTCTTTCTTGCCTTTTTATTTTCCATTCAGATGGAAAGGGCCAGATGTGGAGAAAAGCTGGCTTTCAGAAAAAAACTATATTTGTTTTAAGAAGCACAACTAACTATCTGCCCTCCTCTCATAAGGGGCAAAGAAAAAAATGCCGGAATCACATTTATAAGATGTGTAGTATAACTTCAGGTTTTCTGTTAAAGCGATTATGTCATACCTTATAGGGTTTCTCACAACATTGTCGATACAAGAGAAGACCAAAATTCATCTTATTTCTTAAGTAATAAAAAATCTCTTTCTGGAGGAAAGAATCTCTGCCTGGCTGAAACAAACATTGTTTTGGAATTGTGTGGAATACAAAATGATAATTTCCAAGAAAGACTTTTGAGTAGTATTTCTCTTCTGCAGCCACAGCTTGGGAAGGGCTCTACTTATGCCAAAGCATTTCTTCTGAAAATTATCAGTGACAAGAATGCACAATTCACAATATATGAAGAATGTTTTCCGTTAGACATGACAATAATTAGCTATTTTTCTACAACATCTTAGTTATTTTAT